GCGTGAGTCTTTGAGTACCCTTGTCATATGTCGAATGAAATGTGAATTGTGCCTTCTGAACATGCTCAGTTACATTTAGCAGCAATTTCATGCTTACTGCTTTCTAGTTATGCGAAACCATTTTGCTCTTCTATTCTGGATTCTCTTCGTTCATTTGTTTGAGTGGCCCTCATGGTTCATTTACCATGGTGTTTTGGTTGCCAAATTGTTGCCTACTTTTTGTCGTTTTTGCATAATTTGTTTGAAGCCGGCCTCTCTTGTTTATGATGTTCTCTCTCATACGCAGTAACGATATTTTGGAGTTCTATCTGCAATCGTTGGCGAAGCTCAAAGGGAGTGTCCTGGTTCGCTCTGTTTTATTTCCTATGCTTTTCTTCAGGCCCTTTTCCGGGATTATCACGATCTTATCGAAGCTAAATTGGACTGTGACTCTGGAAAGTAAGTGCCCTAAAACAACCTGCTGAGGGTACTGTTGTAAGACCATCTTATCTAGACCGTTTGACTAATGAAAATCGAGCTCAGTTTGTCACCTGGATGCTAGATTGGTGCTGGCTACTTAGCCGGCAGAAATTGATATAGGCAGAATAGTAATGCCGACAAAGACAAGTAAGACTGTAATGGCCATTTCTGGCCTATTAGCCGTCGTCAGTCAGTCATATCTAACCCAAAAGTATGGAACACCTGAGACTCGATCCCGCAACATGTTGGTTAGAAGTCCAACGCCTCTACCCAGGTGTTCCACACTTCGGGGTTGGGCATGACTGGCTGGCAGTAGCTAATAAGCCAGAACTAACCACTCCAGTCTCCCTTGTCACTGTTAGTAATGCCATTCTGTCCATATCTTGCCCGTCTGTGCGGCTGCTGGTTAGGCTCGAGAGGGAGCCGTAAGGCACAACGGGACAAGTGAGTCCCGCAAAAGCGATCCAGGTGCGCCCCGCTACCACAGAAATTAATATTGTCTACCCTGGCGGCAAACTAGTGGTAGCAAACTATGTTGAGGCGATTTGAAGTAGATGTCCATATTTCGACTTATTTTTATCGGGTACATATAGATTTTGTTTGCTAAACCGATATCGAGAAGATAACGATTTCTCGCGATATTCCGCAAACGGCAAGAGATGGGCGTCAAGCACTACGCAGGAATCTTTTACTTAGCGCACTTCCAGTTTGTCTTTGTTATCCATTCCTGACCTTAGCCCACTATTGCGCGAAAAACGGACAGTTACTATGGGGCGGTCGATTTGCAAAATGTTAATTCAGAAAGTAGAAAAAGGACATCTACAGGTTTGCACTTAGTCAATAGGCGGTAATTACGATGATGAAGGCCGGTTCCCCGAAAACATTCTGGGAATGTTTTCTGAAGGACAAGAATAGTTTTAGATAAAGTTGTAATCAACTTATCTGCCAAGTTCGTAGCAGATTGTTTCTTTGTGAACGCCTTAGACCAAGTTATCAAGCGGCCTCTTGAGTAATTTCGTAAAAGCAGACTCCAGCTTCGGTAATATAACGATGCCACTGGCATTCCAGACGACAGTCTTATGCGTATCAACAGTGACGCAGTTAAGGATGCGCGTACCCATTACAGCCTTGTATAGTTTCGAGCAAAAGAGGCTGCCCTTGGGTTTTCGGCCTCTAGAATTAACGTTGACACTAATTTCGTCCTCAAACGGCGCGTAGAACGTGCGCTCAATGAAATCGTTCAGTGTGTGTTCGCCGAGGCATGTGAGAAAGGAAGCCTAACACACTGGATAGTGTATAAATAGATAGCCTGCCAGTTGATTCAGAAACCCCGTGTTCCGGAGGTCATATGCTGTTGGTAGGGGCTGGGCTAGCGGATTCCTCGTCAGCGGGCAGCCAAGTTGCTGGTGGTTGTCCGCTGCCGAACATTCTGCACATTCAGTTCCTGCAGCCGACGTTGGCTTCCTACAGGGACACCCAGTTTGCTAGCCATGGCCACCGTCTTCCGACACATTTTCTGCAATGTCATATCCATATCTTCCAGCCAGTTCGACTGCGGCTCCTGGAATTCTGTGCGGCAAATCAATGGGAAGATGGTTCCTTGCTGTCCCCTTTGGGAAGAGACTGTTTCCAGTCGTTTCCTTAGATCTAGAACGGCAGTTATATGCCATAACTAGTGAATAGGTGCAGTACCTCGTTTAATACTGACCTGTGGAAACATATTCTGCTGTACTTACTAGGGATGATGTGTTCCATCAAGTTTTCCCAAATTCGGAAAGTTTATCTATCTAACGCAGACCTATGTCTTTTTTGAACTATCGCAAGTTCGCGGAGCACCTTGTCCCTGTACCTCTTAATCCTGCCTGTTATTGTTCTTCCCGATTTCTGTCTAAGCATAGTTAACAATCAAGTTGCTTCAATAGAGCTATAAATCAATAATAGCAGAGCACAGAAAGTGCATATGAAGCCAAATGCCCCACGCCGCTTACGCGAGATAATGGCGTGGTGTCGCGACGCGACTAAGGGGCGGCGATAGTTAACGGTCAGATTGCTTAAGAGGGCTACCCAATGACGTGTCAGAGATAGTGTCTCTAAAAATCGCTATTCTTGGCACATCAACTCCATATTGATTGCTACTGGGGTACTATCACCCTCATAACCCCTCGACTTCGGAAGTTAACATTAGGTTGGAATAAATCCGGCTGAGTTTTTCTTATTTAATGCCGACTTTATGTCGATGAACCTGCGAGTGAGGCGGGTTAATTGTAGCCGCGCCTAAGCGATATTTGTGTTGATGCTAACTGTCTGAACTGGTCAGTTACATCGGCGTGCAAACCATAATTAGACAAGGTTAGTAACTCAGTAGCTTATGGTTTACAAGATGGCTGCACATCCGACGACCTACTACCACGAACACTTTACTTACAAACGGTTGCATAGTTCTGCCTAGGATTGACCAAACTTCTTGCCTAGTCCTCCTACTAGTTGGCAACGCGTCGATGACTAGACCAACTACAACGCCATCACATCGAATATGCATGGAAGGAGTACATAACTGAAGATTAAGCCGCTTTACCAGTCCTATATGAACGTTCTCGCCACCTCTCAGTGCTGTTACTGAGACAGTACTGCTTGCCCACCAGTGTTCGTGCGCACGAAGGCAGGTCCAATGAAAGCAACCTCATTATTTGTAAGAAACTGCTCTGATGAATATGTAGCGTTTATGATCGTATGCCCACTTGCACAACCTATAACGTCCGGTAGGCTCACCTGTTTTTTGATAAGTAGGAGACTCGTCAAACGAGGTTAAACGACGAACTCATTTCTCTGTTACAAGAGGATATCTTCGTGTCAGGAAGAACTACCAGTTGTGAGAGATGAGGCGCCTCACGTACACATTTCCTTCACACCGTCAATTTCACATAAAATTTCAGTGGCGCTGGAATGTACGGTAGACGTGCTGTCTCAGGAAATGTTGTCCGAAATTCTAAAATTCTTTTTTAAATCGAAAAGATCACCTAAGTAGACTTGTAATATTAACCATCATGTTGCCTACTACCAAGATGTACCAGTCACGTCAGGATACCGGCTTTCGAACGAGCCCCTTATAGACTGCATGCGTAAAATACATCCGGTAAGAACGACTACATAAGTAGCATGACATTTTTCCATTAGCTTTCGATCTCCGTATAAATTCAAATATACCTTGTAGAAAACATGCACAAGAATCTTCTTTCTCCTACTTATTTGGCAGCAAATTACGTCACCAAATGTTATACTGGAAGAAAGAATATCTGTTGCTTGACCTTTGCGTGGATTAACGGGACAGACCATTATTGATGAACACCAGTTTTTCGGTAATGGTTAGGACTGCCGACAGAGGCATCCTACAATTAATGCCATCTGCGCTCCTAGACAACAATCCAATAATTCTTGCCACTAGATAAATTAAATGTGTGGGACCTAAAAGCCATCGTAAATGTGATCCGACTTACACGACAGAAATCAAGGCACGCCAACTATGTACATTACCTACGAGCATAAAGTCAGTGTTTTGCCTTGATTCCTCGGTAGTCAGGTCCGCTTTCTTCCGCAGCTTTGGTACCAGTCTCTTTAGTTAACCCAAGGGATCGTTTTTTAGGCGGGAGGAGGAGGTTGAAGACGTCCACATTACGCTCACCTTCTGCACTCAGTTTCGCATCGCAGTCGAAGAGGGGGGGGGGGTTAATGACGGAACAGATTCCAAGTCCTGGTGACGATCGACATATCGTGCAATTTGCGATCTTACCAAAAACCTGCAAACCGCATTGATTCAGATGGTGTTGCCACTTTTACCCTGGGCGTTTAGCATGTGATTGAGCCAGAGACATTTGGAACTGCGCACTTATTCGAACCGGCAGCAAGGAGTTGTGCGGGTGTCGTTGCGCGTTCGGTTACGGTGTAGGGTGCCTCTATAGTTCCCGCGGCTTTGTTGGATAGACCGATTTATTTGGCAATCTCGTTTACCCACACCAGGTTCTTCATTCTAATTAAGCCAATGTGGCCCAAGTCTCCACCGGTTCTTTCGAGTTTTTGCTCAATTCGCCACTACATTCGCAAGCAGTGATCCTCGGTTTCGGTGGACAAAATGTCGAGTTTCAGTACTGCTGTAAGTAGTTTGTTGTTTTGGCGAATTTGCAGCTGACCAGATAAGACTATGAAAACCCACGATGTCCTCATATAGAAGGGATAACTAATGATTCGATTCTCAAGGCAAACTGCGACGCCTTCCAATTTTGTACAGGCTTCTGCCTGGACTGTTGGTTAATTTATGAACACTGTAGGTGACTCAGCATATCATTTTATCGTCAGTTTTATAGTCCTTATCTATGGGGTATTATATCAGTGGCGTCGTAGAACAGTCTATTTTGTACACGACTTATAAGCGGTTATTGTGGCAAATCTAGATCGGCCTATACCCTGTAACCACGCTCTACGTACTCAAGGAAATGTGTTGATCACTATTTGCTATCTTTTTACTTTCATGCACCCTCGGAGGCAAGCAGGATAAAGGTGGCCTATCTACCTCATTTTACCTTCGTTAGGAAGTCCTTCTTTCAGCTTTATGTAACAACATAGAACACACGACCTAAGCCTCCCCACTTAATGGACAGATGTCTACACCGAGTAGCTGACACAACACATTGGAGCCATCTATTGGACTGGCCAGCTTTGTCGTTGTTGGACCGAAACTACTCTCGACGCCAATAGCTCACGACAGGTTCAGCAACAGCGTGCATACTATAGTTTTACGGTTATACGCAAAACGATCTAACTTGCGGTACGCTGAAAACTTAGTTTTATACGGCAAAACGGTAGGTGCTGGTAGAGGGACGCCGAACTACGTGGATGTTAGGTTTCTTCAGTACCTCCAAACATCATAAGATTGCATACTCGTTCTTGGTGGCGGGCGAAATCGGATTCGGCAGCCGACACTTCCCTTATTATAACACCACTATAAATTTGCCAAATCAGTATCCAACCTGCCTGCAAATTCGGTCGCTGCGTGACTCGCTAGTGTCCATTCGTCACACTCGGAGCCCGCCTATTTCGCACCCAGGTTTCTCTCAAGACCATTCTATCCGCCACCCGTGGAGATGACACATAGCCTACGTCTCCGCTGATAAGTAGACCCTTCTTCTAGACATTCATCAAATCCCAATGCCCACATCTTTGTCGATTATAACTACGCAGAAGTCTATTCATTATGTGGCAAATCGGTTCACAGTGGCGGGGTTGTCATACCATGCTTGTCAATTCATTCATTCTTTAAAATGCTTCCTGTCTCCAAAGTCTGTCAGTCTGACGCATTATTGAAACTGATCTGCACTTCCAGGCGTTCGCCTCCTACCCACCGAGCGTCCAAAGTTTTATCCACAGTTTTTCCTCGTTGAGAAAATCACGCTGCGTCTTCGACAGCGGATCCTATTTCTAGAGGGTTTGTTATAATGCGCGCGAAGATTCTACTAGTATATTTGTGTAGGTAGGTTACGTGACAGTTCGACTGTCGTAGATCACGACGTCCACCGCGTGCCATACCAAGTGGGCGCACCGCTGGTGACTTGCACGTGAATCACTTTATACCGAGGCGGACTTACGCAATATCTACCGCACTCTCTTCTCTGTCGCCTAAGTCCGGTAGCAAGGCAGATTTAGGACGACCGCAGGCGTCTTGGGCGCATTAGATGACAGCCAAACAGACCGTCTATGTCTGCCACACACGACCTGGTCTTCTCCAAAAGGGATCGGCTCGGATCTCACGTGCGTGGGTGTCGTGAATGCCACACTAGGAAGTGTGCAGGTTTTCTCCTGTAGGCCTGCCTTATTCTGCAGTATCTGTACGTTCAGGACCTTCCCCTACGATCTCTCTTTGTTGTAAGTACGCTTTATTTCGTAAAAGTCGTGGATGAGAATTTTTGCGCTTTGTTTTATCAGCGAGCTATCAACATCTGCTAAGTATGTCTAAGTTTCAGGCCACATTTACTGGTATAGTTCTGATAAAGCCAGAAACAGTATATCCTTCGCAAAAAAACTCAGCATTCGACTTTGTATCCATGGGCATGCGTGTAGTGCGAACACTTCTCTTAGGTGTCAAATTGGAAACTTAATTTTACATCGTCAGATAGAGTCTCTCAAATGCGTTATCAACTCTAACCTTTGGAATGAGATTCAATGATTTTAGACGTTTTAAAAGACTCAGAGTTGGCAGAATTAGACTGAGGTTGAGATATCTAGCTTTTTCGACTGACCAAGGTTGTTTATTGTCGGCCAATTTACACTAACACGCACTTCAAACCAAACACCAGAGAAGTAGACGCCAGTGACTGATAAATTATGGCGTTAGGAAGCAGGAGGGGCAGCAAAGCGAAGAGCACGTCGCACACAAGGAAGGTGTCGAAAAGTTGTAAGACAGGTTTCGAATTCTCTATTGTATACACTGTGTGAGACTGTAAAGAAACGAACGCAGACCGCGAGGTGCTGGAAGCCGCTGCCTAGAGTGCAAGAAGAAACTTAAACTTTGAAGCCGACGTCTATAATTGTGCCCTCACGAAAATTGGAGTAATATTGTGAAGGTAAAACGTATGGCACGGATAATATATTCCGAAGGCAAATTACCATCAATTTCACTGATTTCGGCTGTCTAGTTCTCTACTTGCGTGCTATTCATATGGTGAGTCCTGCCCCTAAAACGGGCCATGCGGTAGATGCACTGCACCAACACGGGGACTAGATCGGATCCGGTGGGCGTTACCGGGAATACGCACCCATAAAAAATGCCAACATTGGGAGTGTGACGGCCGGCCCAGGTGCAGGCGTTTGCCATGCCAACTGGGATCCGTGCCGCCCCCTTTTCTGTAATTGTGTAAAATTCTGACCACACCAAGGGGTGTGGTGTGACGCCTAGGTGCGGGTTTTCTCTGTGCTAACCATCTGCGCATTCTCCCGCCTCTGGTCTTCATGACTCCGTCTTGACACCGGGTCCAGGTGGGAGAGGAGGAGGGAGTGCGGTAGATGCAGCTCAAGTCTACTATCATTATCAACTACATCACGTGGAATTCATCGTCCCTGTTCTCATCGTGCTGTGGAGCACACGGTGGACATCGTCGGTAACGACGGTCGAACTGCCAGGAAATAAATAATAAAGCCTGACACCTAGTCATGCGAGGACCGAGTTACCGCGTCAGTTGACAAACGTCTGAGCCACGACATTTAGCATTTCATGACAGATTTAGACGCGTCAGACTTATTGTAGCGAGGAGTGTGTTCATTTGTTATCTGGGTGAGCCTCCCAGCATCGGCCCCACCCTTTTCGCCCTGCCATGCACTAGTCGCCTGTCCACCAATTAATGAAGTCGTTCGCAGTGATTGGCGTACCACAACATACAGTTGAGCCAATGGCTTTTGACTTGCGCGTGCTGGGCGCTGCCTGATAAACGCTCACCGTGAGCCAATTTGCACTCATTTTGTTCCGACCTATCTGCAGCGAAGACATTCATGGGGGCCAATATTGACTGCAACACAACGACGGGCGGATTGGGCCGTAAAGTAAAACTCCTTAAGAGAGATGATGTCCCCGGCTTTGTGGTGGTTACTATCTGCCTGGTCGCAGACTGAAACTAGGGATAGTTGACAACCCCGGTTTACTTTCTTCAGCTTTCCTGTCAAACGGGTTGGATGAATGTGAGGTCAACCAGTATATCAATATGGCACGCCAGCTCTCTGCCCAACTCCCCCAAAACCAACTACATTGGTGTCTGATAAGTCTACAGAAACTGAGTATGAGACCTCTTTCGAGACGGTCCTCCCCTACAGGCGCTACACTTAACGTATGGAATTAAGTGACATACACCGCCTGGAAGCGTTAAATCTATCATATCTGTGTTTCACTTCTAAAACCTATCTGTCAGTCGGTCCTGAACAAGAGCGGTCAACTTCCCCCTCCTTACTGGTCAATTGAGTCAGATAGGCCGTATCCTGCGCCGACCTGAAGGTGATCTGGGACATTACACTCGAACTAAACGCGGACCAGTAACGGCTTTGAGGTGGCCGACGAAAGACATAGGTGCACGTAGCCGTTCGGTCTTCGGGGTTGGCGTGCCAACTGGCTCAGCCTCGTTAAGAAATCTGCCAACGGCATGGTGAACCGATTTTTCGTGGTGGTAAGCTTTTACCAAGGGACCGGTTGCGTTAGTAAGTGGCGTCACAAGTACAGGGGAGCTTGGTCGATGCGATTGACAATCCGAGTATCGGGACGGGCTTCCATCCTCTCCTTGATAATCAGATCATCCAGACCGCGACAGTACCTCCTGTAGTCATTCGAGCTGTTAGTACATAGATGGTGTGCAGTGTGATCGCAGTTCCAATACACGATCATTAGTTTTTGGATGGAAATTGTTCATCTATCGCCCTTCTCAAGCATCCCTACCCATTTTCAGTTTACAGGTGCCCCGTCTCCAAAAAATTCTGATTGCGTTGAAGTACATAGTCTGGTCTTCGATTGACACCGTCCTGGCTAATGTTCATGGGAAGCAAACCCGTTCGGCACTTAGGTTAAATACTCAGCTATATCAGGTTTCAGAGAGCCACTCCAGTCGCTGTTTTCCTCACGCATTTAGGCCTGGTCCTGTTGTTTGCTTCGTTCGGGCTGCCGAAGCCACCCTCCATGAATTTCTATAGTTTATTGTGAATACATGAAAACACAGACTCGTTGCGCAATAATAAACTAGGTTGACACCCTTGCTGTAGATCAACTTGCTATACTAACCCACCCATTCACGGCCAAATATTCACCCTTCCGTTACTTCGAGGCTATTTAATCATCTAACATTTTAGAGGCGCTCAAGGGTCGGGAAGTTTTCTTTCTCTGCTTACGACCTCTGCACGATGTCGACCCCCACGTCCTACCAATCACCCTGCTTTGTCGCCCAGTCGTGGTTTGGACAACATTTGCGGCCCTGTTGTCGCACGTATTGTTCGCCCACTTGCATTTTCTGCTGCCTTTCCAATGCGGTAATAGTGGGAGTTATCTGGTATCGCGCTGTACAATTTGCACGATATGCTATTTATGATATCTGTTAGCTTAGTTGCTCTACCGTAACGGTTATGAGATCTAATCATCTTTCTACACGTTCCAGTCCCTACAACCTGACTTTCAGCCCGATGAACCAACCTATTCCACCAGTTAGTGACTTTGTACATCGCAATTATGTAGACATCATTGTAGTCCTTGTGTGAGCTCATGTGAGGGAAGTCTGCATAACCTCGGCCTTACTCCTTACACCAATCCATAATCGTCTACGGGCGATTTAGGGTCAGTGCAGCTGTAGTGGGGATCAGCTGCTGGTCTAACGTTTTTTCCTGTCGTGCACACTTGCTGGTTCAAGTCTACGGATAACCGAACTTGCCCCAAGCAACACAGTCCCTATCCAAGGACGGAATAAAACTGAATAACAGCAAATGAGGAAGCTCCTGTCAAATACGTCAGTGCGTAGTGCCAGAGCCTCAGACCGTGATTTTTTTCAGGAATGCGGTTTGCCTTATACTACCACTAACCGTTGCTGATTCTGTTGCCGCTTTTATCTCTGACTATGGGTCTCTGCACCAGTTCGGAATCTCAGACAAATAAATAAGCGGTCCTGGTGATCGAACAGCCATCATCTTCCATGCTTAAAGACTTTGGAGACAGGGACGCACCATAGGGAAAATAAAAGAATCCAGACGTTCAGAAAAGTTGACAAGCATGATAGTGTGACCCTACCACTGTGAGCCTACGTGCCTGCTAGGCAAATAAACATCCTCACAGTCGTAATCGACGAAGACGTGGACGTGCGGATGAGAGGAACGCCCGAGAGACGAAGTATACTTGTTAGCGGTGCTGCAGGCTACATGCTATGCCTGCAGGCGAGGGATAGGACGTTCTTGAGAGAAGTCTGATCGCGAGATAGGCAGGCTCCCGGGTCTGACAAGTAAACAGTCGCGATCCACTTTGCTTTCTCCTGAACCCGTCTTGGACAGATAGTGGTAAAGTAGCCCTTCGTCCATCGTGTCGGACAGGTGTTTGACCTCCACCGATTGTTCAGTATTACTAACAAGGAACGAGTCATATCTAGCTCTTACCACCCTTATCTGTCAGGAACCGAATTCTCGCGTGTTTTCGCGTCTTGGAAATGGCAAGATGCTAAAGCATCATCTCTGTCGTTGTCCAGTCATCAGTTCTACCCAGATCGCCTATTAGTCTGTCGGCACCCCCTTCCACAACGTTCAATAACTGCTGCATTATCATCGCCGTCTACATAATAATACATAACACCATCATTCTCAAGCTTAGACTACCGGTCCTCCAGTCCCTCATTCCAAAACGCCAATTTGTAAATTGTTTCAGATGATAAATTACAGAGAGCAGATTTACGGGTTCGTCGTCAAATTCATCACTGTTGGATGTCCGGATGTCTGTAACTGAAGATACAGGGGTAGTCCTCGGTCTTGTCCACCTGAAGGCCGGTTTCGCTCACTCTGCTTAAGGAATAAGATAACGCTCTGCCTACCGTACGTGTGTCCATACAGAGCCACAGTGGTTTATCGTCAATGTCGGTTTGGATTCAGATGATCGAATTCCGCACGCCAAACACCTTCCAGGCACATAACACAGCTCAAGAGCTTATGTCTAAGTGTTGCACAGCTGTACCTTCATTTCGTGATTTCTATTTCTCATTCTTTACTGGACTTGAGATTTCACTTACCATGACAGTTGGAGCCTTTTGACGCTAATCTTGTAATGCTGTCTTCTCTAAGGATTCTTTCTTACAACACGCAACCATTCTGCAATTCGATATCCGACGCCCTTAATAGTGTTGATGAACTGGAGACCCAGTTGCACGTTCTCGAGTCCTGGTTTGAGATGCCCAACATCCAGCATTCCTTCTATCCTGACGAGCTTGACCGCATTTCGGAAGACGCACTGGGACTCATTGAGATTGTTCAGCAGTTTCAGACCGCTCTCCGTTCCGTGGTCTCGAAGCAGTCACTCGATAGTGACCTGGCCAGTGGTTGTTCAAAGCAGCTGGATTCGACGCCTTCAAGCGCCTCTGTGCCAGTTCACCAACAAAGATCCCAACAGATGCTAGTGGACGGTGGTCTGTCTGACTTTCCCTCCCCCTCAGAGTGTCAAAATTCTGCGAGCTTAGGAACCCCGCCGAAACAGGTAAAACAGTGCCAACGTATCGAGCACCAGGACCAAGGCATGCAACAACAGACCGCCACTGCGACTGTTCATGTACCACGTGATCGTCCGTACGGCCAAGATATGCCGGATTTAAGCAACTTCGGTCAGGATGTGACTGTCCCGGATAGTGTTATACCGCAACCGCATATACAATCTTCAGCAGTGTCGCCTTTCACCACCTTGCCGTCGGCGACGGTCGTGAACTACAGACACGGTTTCCAGCACCAGTCTAGGATGGCTGCCTCGCTACGTGGTGCTCTTGACATAGCCCCCTGTGCTGCGGACCCCGCCCCTCCCTATCCACAGACCCCGTCTTCTCACTCTTCCTTCGGAGGTACTGCAGCTGGGCTAGAACCCCCACCTTTGGACTCTATGTGTGTGGAGCTGCCACCTGAGAAGGCGCATAGCATACACTTGCAGCAACAATTGCAACACCCCCACCCGAGTGACTGCCAATTTCATCCCAATATGACAGGAGATTACGTCTGAAGGGACGATGTTTGTTCAGCGTTTTTGCCTCACTAATTTTTTTACTATTCACGTAATTATATCAAAATTAGGGGACCGAACATGCTTGGGATCACTATGTCGCTGGATACCTATTGGTTGTCGGGCCCTGCCCGAGTCACCAACATAGACACCCCCACGTTGGTGTCAGTAGTTGGCGCAATTAAGGCGTGGCTACTTGTGACTAACTAGGTCCGCCAGTCAGTATACTGCATTACGTTTCTATGTTTTTCTTCGTTTTTGCCTCCGCTGGTGATCGTGGTAGACTGATGCCGAAAGTGAACTTGTTTTCCTTATCGTTGTAACTACTTGAGTAGACATCCCAGGCTTCGCAAGGAACTAATTGTCCAGCCGGAGCATACTTACTAGTCTTTGGGGTCGCGTTACAGTGTTACTAACTCCCATCGCAAAATAAGTGTATCTGAGATATTTGATAAGAAACGCATATCTGCACTACTCTTTAGTTTGCAAGAATGCGACGAGGGTTTGCGTCACACAGGTTGGCTGATTTTTTTCATCTGATATTGTGGCCTGCGGAATCTGTACCCACTTTTTGTGAAATAAAGGCTTTCGATTTAGGATTAGTTTTGATCAATTGCAATCATTTTGTTAGTATGTCTTTCAGTCTCCTAGTGCGATTCTGTCTGTTCCCAGTGCCTCACTACCTTGCCAACGGCTATTACCGCGGTAAATCCTAGTGGATATACTCCCTAATTGTAAGAAATTAGCCGATTACGCGCCCAATCTGGTCTGTTGGGTAACTATCTCCGAGCCCTTTGTACATAGCGCTCCCACCGCATTTACTCAAGCATAGATATAATTAACGATGCGGAATGAACAGAAATGGGAGAGGTTAACCCTAGGCAGCTTCTGAGATAACGGAATATGCCTAATTAGAGGACTTTTCCGCGTCCTCCGTCTCTGTTGCTTTTTTATGAGCGGTCACGCTCCTTTCGGTGGTATTTCGCAGCCTGCTCGACAGGCTGAAAAATCGCCAGCCACTGATGGCCCATTTAATTTGTAATTTCTGCTCGTGGCAATGATTGTCATTCATCAATTGCGCACCTGTCAGTATAAAGGTGTGGTGCCAGGTTCGATGATTTAAGTAAAGGGACTTCCATCTGAAGGCATACTGAACCCTCCGGGTTTCTAATTTGACCACAAGTCATCCGTAAACACTTTGGGCGACCGGCCATCATGTTTCTTAACTAATCACATAGTTTACGCTACTTATACTTTTTGGACAGTTGTGAAGCACAACAGGCTGGTTTCGGTTCACGTGCCTCGTGTTTGGGAGTTACACTGAGTGCGAGCTTCCCATCCTTTCTGATTGTCTCACTTCTAGGTAAACATGAGCCTTCTGCCGCTGGCTTCAAGGATCTTCAGTGGCCTCTGGCTCAGGAGAACGCCAATAACCTCGCCAACTACGTGTCGTTCTTTTAGTCTTCAAAGGCACCGGCGAAAAGGCGTGGCCGACAGGCTGGCTGGCGACTCAACAGACAAAGTGACTTTAGTTGGTGGAACCGGGGGCGGCCTTGGGGTAGCCGGACCTCAGCCGTACATGCAGCCCAAACCTTGCAACATCCGTTACAATCCACGCATGTACAACGGCGGTCTTCTACCACGACTTACTTTTGACGACGAACCAGTTAAGCTGCCCGAATATCAGCCAGGCGACCGATGGGTACCACATCGCGCCTTTTTCGGACAGAATGACTACATCGGTGAGCCAGGTGGTCTTTTGAATCCAAAGTTTCACCATTGTGAATTGCGAGCCCTGTTTGAGGACACTGTAACTGGATTTTGTGGGACTGAATTTTAGCTGGATGGGAAACAGTTAGAGCTGATAAAAGCAAACAGGCAAGTCCCAGGAAGCAGTTCAGAAGAAGGTGCGATGACAATGAAAACATCTTTTCTTAGCTAGAGAGCCGTTTTTCGCTGGAATTGTCAGTGATAGTAACGCTAAAAGACCGCCACTTACTTGTCCAGATGTCCTTGCGCTCTTATTTCCTGTCAACACAACTTGTGTTCACATCACGAACCACCTATCAGTGCGCAGAATATGCTCCAGGTAAGGCCTCTACCTGAGTCGGTGATGGCAGGTCTTTTCAGTGGTGAGTAAAATCGGTCTGTCACTTTGAGAACTGGCTACATTCGTATTCGGCGTGGAATGCTCGTGCAAATATGGTTTTCCTCGGTTACCTTCATTGTTACTTAACAGTTCAGTACCAATCTTGATGGAGTTGCCAGCACAAAAATGTGTAGTTTATGATATGGAGATCCGGGGTAGTCTTGCAAATATACCTATTCATGTTTAGAATAATCTCTAGTTGGTTTTGTGCGAAGCAGTACCAAGTGCTAAATCATCGCGAGTGCTTTAAGAAGAACAACGGCCAATTCCAGTGGAATCAACGGCAATTTCTTTGGCAAGATTTTGTTCTCACTTCTAGATATCCTCGGTAACGGAAACTTAAAACCCGAGGATTTCTACGTGGGACCAATCTGGGCCCTCACTGCCCGAAATGAGTTCCAAAGAGTCTGCAATTTGCTGTTTGACCCCGCTGTAGTAGCTTGGCTGGAAGAATTTGAGCCTTCGCGTCTACACGACCTCCGAAAACGACACAAGTTCCTCTACGGGAGAATGAATAGACGAAAGAACATTAAATTCAAGAAGTACCGCGATCGCCCTTGAAAGACCAATGTCTTCATTTTACTAACAGCGATCTTTCTGAAGCAAAATGCCTGATTCCCTCTCACACCTCTGATACATTAGCAGTCTGACCGATGTAACTGGCTCTTCTAGTTTCTCGCACGATGCCTTTCTGTGCATGATGATTACAACAGTGAGCCTGATGGTCTTGACACCCACGGGGCCTCGACGGGACTACACGTCTCGCGAACTTGAGAATATTGATTGATTGGATTAGTCATCAGAACTCCGACGTGGCAGAACAAGTGCTCGAACAAGATTTTCGTCTACACCAGTGACTGGGCACTATTACATGTCGACTATGCAGAGGCGCCTGAAATACTCATCGCCGCGGAAGAAAGCTAGTCGTCTGGGCAGATAACTAGTGTTCTCCGACGATGGATACGAGGACTCCACTGTTGCACTATTGAGTTAGGTTGTCCAGGAAGACTGAATTCCTATGTTCATAGCGATACTGGGTTGTCGCAAACTTTAACCGACGTTTACAACACCAACTTTTACAGGGGCGGTCAGAAACAAAAGCCTTAGGCATTCGTAGGAAAACTGGTAGTGGCCCGAAAGCTGACTCGGCTGCCCCATATGACTTCTCTGTTGCAACTAGATACGAATTCTTGAGCAGACTCGGACGTAATTGGCCTGTTCGGCGTTTAACAAAATTGGTGTGGCTTTTGGCGATGCCGAAAGCGGGGACTGGCACCAAAAGGCAACTTTGGTAGACATACTATTGCCGCGTGGAGTCCAATTGTGCGGTCGACGATCGGTATAGCGCTGCGAGAATGACCTGAGGCCTGTCCTCCCAGCCTTCATATATCTTCGTCGAGCCGGTTAATGGCGAGTTGGGCGCGTGAACAGAATCGACGCTCCGAAGCGCTACATAAGTCAGGTTTATGGTAAACGGTGCTTGCCGCGCGACCAGCTGTCGTCGTATGCTTACCAACCTACTGCCAATGATTGCTTTTCGTCCGATTTGGGGGTACAATAGAGAATTAGACAAACTAGGACAATGGACATGTGAATGTTGACCACGTTACAGAGCGCCGGTAATCAACACCCAACCGGCGAGGGCAAAGGTTTGATGGTAAACGAGCGACAAGCAAAGAGCAAGATCAAAACCCGCGCGACCTAGTCTCCCCTACAACCTTATAGACAGCGGCAGGGACGGACTCGAAGGACTTTATTTGGGCTGAAGGTTAATGAGGTCGCATATGCGTGCACGGCGTAAATGGCAGGCCATATTTTCGGTGATCCGAGGCCTAGCGGGTTAGAAACAAGGGGAGACCAGCTGTTGTGTGAGGCACTCCTAACCGACACACTACTACTTTAAATAAGTTGGGAATCACCGAATGGGTGACTCTTGAAGAAAGAAACTAACAGCCATTATTCTATCAAAAGCTGCTGATGAGATTAGTTACAGATAGACAAGTTTCAGCGACTACATACTGAGTGCCAGCCA